AAATCTGCTTTTTATTAATTTCTCTTGTTTTGCTTTTTTATGCATAGTTGGCAGAGTTGGTAGAGCAGGTCACCTCCTAACCAGAAGGTTGGTGGTTCGGTCCTAGTATGCTCCAGTCTGCATGCCAAATAACCTTAGGCAAGATGCTAACCCCAGCTTGCTCTCCAATGCATCCATCGGAGTGTGGATGTGTGTATGAATGTTAGTTAGACAGAACTAAAAAACTTAAGAAAAGAGAAAAGTGCTTGTGTGATTGGGTGAATGAACGAGTTGTGTAAAGCGCTTTGAGTGCTCAGAATAGAAAAGCCCTATATAAGAACCAGTCCATTTATTATAATAATAATAATAATAATAATAATAATAATAATAATAATAATGGATTGCATTTATATAGCACTTTTCGGGCCCTCAAAGCGCTTTACAATTCCACTATTCATTCACTCTCACATTCACACACTGGTGGAGGCAGCTACAGTTGTAGTCACAGCTGCCCTGGGGCAGACTGACAGTCTTCTGCTGCTTGTTATTTAAATGAGCTCATTGTACAGTTTTTCTCATATCCCATTATATTTATTTTATATGCAAATTACATTTATGTTATTAACTTCTTCTGTGTGAGCCAGACAAAACTAAAAAGATTCAGCTTTGGGTTTAGACACATGTTGCATGCATGTGTGTTTCTCAAACCCTTCAAACTTTGTCTGTCTCTTTACACAGGTCTACAACGACACCGCTTGGAAACAATTCCTTCAAACCCACAGAGTAGCTCAACAGTGTCACCTGTTGGAGACAGCAATACACAAGCAATCACTGAGAGATCGTCCAGTCCTCACAGAGTTTCACATTGTTCCCCAGAAGTCACGTCTCCTCTGTCATTTACACCAGCAGAAGTGTCTGAGGACCTCACAGACTCTGAGCCTGAGGAAGAAAAGGACAGACGAAGTGGCAAGGCTAAAATGACTGAGAGTGATGAAGAAGAAACAGGTTGCAGAGAGGAAGAGGACGATGATGTGGATGAGCAGACAGATGAGGATTATGAGGAGGTTGTAGTGAAGCTGAGGCCTTTAAATGAGGTGACCTCATTAACAGACAAAACTAGTCCCTGGACCAGCATCTTGTCAGATCCTGAATTGGCCTCTCTGGAGAGCCTGGAGGGACCAGAGCACCTGGACCTGAGTGAAGATGAGGGCAAGAAGGAACTGCTGGTAGATATGGAATCGGGTCACCCCAGTGGGAAGCACAGGGAAGAGGAAAGTGAAGACGACTGCAGCTTAAATGGTTCCACAGGAGATGCTTCAGATCTGGAGAGAGGTGATGAAATGTCGCAACATGCTGGAGGTGAAAGACAACAACAAGAACTAAACAGCCCTAACAAGAGGTCACATGACACAGATTCATCACCAGCCAAACAGCACACCACAGACACCCACAGTGTTTCCGCCTCCTCAGACGAGCCACGCCTCCAACGGTATCTTTAAATGTGTTTCATGATTCATTTGTGGCCGTTAGGTTATGCTGTTGGTTTTTGCTTTTCTGAGCCAGTTCAAATCAGTGATTCATTATAAAACTTGTGTTAGGTGTGTAAATGCTTCATCTTGTGTGGCGTCTTTAGGGTTTTATTTCAACATTCATCTCAACAATCTAGACATAAGGAGACTGACAGGTGGAAGTGCGAAAACGTTCCTGCTGAGCAGGCTGAACATAAACTCACACACACTAAATCCCATGTGGTTGCTCACAGTCTGTGTAATAATGAATAATAATAATGGATTAGATTTATATAGCACTTTTCAAGGCACTCAAAGCGCTTTACAATTCCACTATTCATTCACTCTCACATTCACACACTCGTGGAGGCAAGCTACAGTTGTAACCACAGCTGCCCTGGGGCAGACTGACAGAAGCGAGGCTGCCATATCGCGCCATCGGCCCCTCTGGCCATCACCAGTAGGCGGTAGGTGAAGTGTCTTGCCCAAGGACACAACGACCAGGACTGAGAGCCCGGGGATCGAACCGGCAACCTTCAGATGCGCTTCCCCTTAATATAGTTTTCCCGTGGAGGTCAAACAGATATTTGTTTTGTTTTGTTTTTTCTGAACATTTACTTTCATGTTTTTGGGGAGTGTTTAAACACAGTTCCCCTCCTCTTCAGTTGTAACTGCCTCAAAACACACTGAGAACGTGTTTTCTTTAACTTCATCCATTAAGCTCTGTTCCTGCAGAGGTTCTAAACTTCTTCCTCCCCTCCCACCAACTGGAGGCGTCGATGAGAGCTATACGTTTAGCACCCACGTTCTCCCAGGCATCCAGCAACCCGGTGAGTGTTTGTCCACGGGCAGTGCTTTTGGCCGTCACGCCTGCTTATATGTTCACTCTCTCCACTCCTGTTACTTTTACAGTGGTGTTAGAGATTAACCTTTACCTTTGATGTATCTGTTCATGTTTGCATAATTTAATGGTTTTGCAAATATACTTGCCCAACCTTCTGTACACACAGTGTTATGAATAATCTTTCGCATGATGTGTGATGTGCGTGATGCCAGACTGACATTCGGTGTAATTTAACACTCAGTTCTGCAGCACTAACAGGTTGACTTTCTCTGATCTCATTCACAGTGTTTGCCCAGCATTTAAATGTTGGGGGTTTTTTGTTTTGTTTTTTAAACCAACAACACATTTTTGTATTTTTGCAAACTTTGGATGTGATTAAGTAAAAAGTATGAATTCTAAAACCACTGATTGGATCTCTCTTCTAATGTAATTGATCATTTTAATGCAATTTAAAACAAACAAAAATAATAAATCAAATACAGCTTTATTGTCAAAAACCATATGTACATTCCATACACAAGAATTTGAAATTGAAACGGTCCCACGGCCCTCAGTGTACACTAAAACAATATAAAGATAAAAATAAAATAAAAGTCTTATATACAACACAATATAATACTGCAGTACAATACAATAAGATGCTGTCACATGCAAAAAAGAAGAATCAATGGAGATGACTGTCACTCCTGTTTTTTAATTTTACAACTTTTTGAAGAGCACAATAAAACAGAGAAGTTGAGAGTTAGAACTTATTTGGAGAGGTGGTGTGACTGTTGGCACCACCTCTCCTCCCTGCATGATGACGAGACCTTTCAAAAAAACTAGTTCAGGCATGCCATTTGTTGCTGATACATGCAGCTGACAGTCTCACAACATGAAGGCTAACCAAACAAAGGTTTGTTGTGTGTGAATTGTGAGTCATATAATCACAAAAAAAGATTCAGATCAATTAACTTATTTGTCTTCAGCCTCCCCTGCAACTAAGCTGTCTTGTGTTTTTTTTTTTTTTTTTTTTTTTTTTTTTAAACTTTAACGCTTCATGTTTTCAGGACCAGAACTCATCGGTTCACAGCGCCCCACCTCCCAGAGGCCCTCGGCAGCGTCCCAACATGTCACCGTCATCCATGAAGAAAGAGACGGAGAGAATAGCAAAAATTTTTGCAGCTCACTTTGATGAGACTAATTAGAGACGTTTGGTTTCAGCCTGCAACAATAATCATGTATATTAAATGTAACATGTTGTATTTTTATAAATAAATATTAACCATTTTCACTACTGAAGTTTTTTTTTTTTTGTGGTTTTTGTTTTTTTAAATGTTTTATTGAAGCTGAATGTCTGCAGGCTGGTGGCCACAAGTTTTGGTGATGTAACTGTTTCAGGTTCTCTCTTGAATAAGACAGCTGTGTATGTTAATTTCATGTTTTTGGGTTTCCCATCATGTTGATTTGTTAAAGAAATAAAACATTGAAGTTCAGTTTAAAAATGCCATTGCTAGTCCACATCACCTCTTCACCTCATTATAGTAGCTGACATAACAGAAGGGCACCTGTACATATGTGTGGGTATTTATATGAGAAATGTGATACACGTAATTGGCATCAAATAAAAAAAATGCAAAAATGAGGCATAAGTCAGGATAACTGGGAATATTTATGGAATATGTGGTGGCAGTTAAAGTTGAACGTTTCGTTGATAATAAACAACTATATAAAAGATAAACAAATATGGAAGAGTGGGGAGGTGTGATCTCCAGACTTTAATATTTTCAGATAGTGGTCCTACTGAAATATTAACACACCTACAATTCCTGTAAATAGAGGGTTTAAATACATCATCCTTAAGATGTATGATAGCAGAAACATGAAACCTGAATCGATCTAAAAACAAAAAAACAACCACATATCCATGATACAACACCCAAATGACACTGCAGGGTAGTTTTGGGGATGTAACATAACTCAGTTAAAGTTAATCCTGAACCATTTACTCCTGTACTGAGGATGTTGTGAGGTTCTGTTATACTTTGGGGGGCATTTTTTTTTTTTTTTTTTTGCCATGGTTTGAGTCTTCTTGTCCCTCTTAGAGGAAAATGTCACTGCCAATCAAGAGAAAGTGCAATTTCTATAATAAAAGACTATTATTTCATATTATTTCCCTTCATAGTTATCGATCGTGGCTCAATTTGTAATCACAAGGTTGCCGGTTCGAGCCCCGGCTTGCTGGTGGTGGTCAGAGGGTCCGGTGGCGCCAGTGTCCGGCAGCCTCGCCTCTGTCAGTGCGCCCCAGGGTGGCTGTGGCTACAATGTAGCTTGCCATCACCAGTGTGTGAATGGGTGGATGACTGGTTGTGTACAGCGCTTTGGGGTCCTTAGGGACTAGAAAAGCGCTATACAAATACAGGTTATTTATCAGATATACACCCACGTGAACTCCTGTGAGTTGGTGGTCGCCATTGCCATCATAAAAACACCAAAAGCAGGATTATTTCCCATAAGAATGGGAGGACATTATCCGTACTAAGATACATAAAACTTTCCTGATGACGCCTCAGCTCTTGTCCGCTGACATTGAAATTGTTTTTTATTTGAAAGCAGGTGGATCATGACAGAGAACACCGATAAAGAACAATCCGGGGTATTCCGCGCATGTGTGTGATGAGTATCTGGAGTTCTGCAGGGCGGTGCAGCAGGTCCGTTCAAAGTCAGTAAATGTGGGCCAGGCTTCACTCGTCGGCTGCGCAGTCAGGTGTTTGTTGACATGCAAAGATACCGACTTAGTTCAGTTTGCTTTCGACTTCTTGTCGTGAGCGTTTCTGTGTAATGGCACAACGACGCTGTTCCCTTCAAACTCCAAACTTTCTTTTGCATGGAGCTTGACCTACATCGCTTTTATTCGTTTCCGTACACGAAGGATGAAATGATGATTAGTCCTTCAATGCGCACTTTGTTATTTAAGTTTTGTTGTTGCTGAGGCTTGCTGTTGAGCTCAGGCACTGATCATGGTTGGAGGGAGAGCGGCTGATTTGGTGCCCACAACTGCTGTTAAAATCTTCTCAGCTGGAACAGCAGGCTGCGTGGCGGACCTAGTCACCTTCCCACTGGACACCGCCAAAGTCCGGCTACAGGTGAGGCATCAGGAAGCCCCACCCACCTCATGGTATTTGCAACTATAGCCACCTCAAAATATTCTCGGTAATTAAGAGCTTTATATTTTATAACAAAAAGTGTAACACAATTCAGAATATAAAAAAAGTGGAAAAATTGGTGCACAGGGACACCCCCCTCACCCCGACCCGGCTCAGCTTATCGTGTAAGTGTTGTTTCCTGATTTCTTTCTTTCTTTCTTTCTTTCTTTTAACATATTTGTCACACTCAAATGCTTCAGATCACCAAATTACCGAAACCCCAAAGTCCGTTTTTAACTGATGATTTGAGTTATTAAAGAAACAAGTGTAACGTGAGGGTTCACTTGATGGAATCTCCCTGAATAATTAGGAACAGCACGATGGAGACAGTTAACTGTCTTACCAGCCTCTTTACTCTCAGCACACAGCAACAACAAAAACCAACACTTCCTGTGTGCCGCCGTCATCAATATTTCACTGGGCTCTAAGAAGCCAGGAAATGTTATACTCAGATCAATGCAGAAAAACCAACTAGGTAGATATAACACATACTTATTACTGCTTTGAACATGCATGTGTAAACATTCAAATGTGTAAACATGTAAATACCAAAACAGGTAACCACCAAATAGCTGCATAACTAGCTCTATAACCCTCGTAAACACCTCTTTTTGTATATCAAATTACCTTTAAATTTACTTCCACATTTTACACAAGATATCCAAACCTACCTTGCCTTGTGTGAAAATGTAAAATTTACTGTGACCACTCACATTTTTAAGAAAGCAAAGTTCAATTTCACTAGCCACACCCAGGTGTGATTACTGCCAGTCTAAAAAGTGAAGTAGGCTAAAATATGACACAATTCAAAGAAACAAAAAACCAAAACAAAACATGTAAAACAAAAAGTCACTGAAAGATATCAGTCTGGAAATGGAAATGGAAAGTCATTTCTAAGGCTTTGGGACTCCAGTGAACCACAGAAAAGAACCCAGTACAACATCTGAAGAACTGCAGGCCTCACTTCAGCTAGGGTCAGAGGTATAGAGGTGATGGGAATGTGATGGTGTCGAGCTGCTTTGATGCTTCTGAGCGACTTGCTGTAGCTAATGGAACCATGAATTCTGCTCTCTACCAGAACATCCTGAAGGAGAATGTCCAGCAATAAGTTTGTCCCTTCAAACCCAAAAACACTTGAGTTATGCAAGAAACACACTAGTGTTTTGGATCCTTATCCTGCTCCTAAATGGTAAACTGACTGGTTCTTATATAGTGCTTTTTTACTCTGCCTCATTCACCCATTCAAGCAAGCAATTTTTGCTATGCTTTTTCTATCTACAATTCACACACATTCATACTCCGATGGATGCATCGGAGAGCAACTTGGGGTTAGTATCTTGCTCAAGGATATTTGGCATGTAGACTAAAGCAGCCAGGGATGGAACCACCAATCTTCTGATTAGCAGATGACCTGCTCTAGCACCTGAGCTATAACCACCCCAAATGGCCTTGTCAAAGTAGGAACTGGCGTTATCAAACTCCAGACTGAAATCTTATTGAGATGCTTGGGAGTTATTTGAAACAGGCTGTTAACGCCTGTTAAAAACAATGTTGTTTGTTTTGTTTTTTTTTTACAGGCGTAACTAACAAAATTACCAGTGAGTGTCAGTTTTCCCAAAATCATTGAAGTTGCCATATCTGTCTAAGAGCATAAAAAATAACATTTATTCATAATGTTACCACATGAGCATTTTTAGGATACTATAGATATAGATTGTTGTCAGCCAATACCTGTGTTTTGGCTGACTAGAAGATAAACTGCTTTTCATGTTGTCCAACCCCCTAGTTCAAGCATATGCTCAGAAATATCTCAACACGGCTGCATGTTACACGAATGTAACCTAACAATTAAGAAAGCAGCCTGATCACAGACATATGTGGACATTTTCCCTCTAAGTGAGGCAGTGAGGCTGATGGCACATCTTGAACCTGTTATTATGTTTCTTCAGGTGCAAGGTGAATCCAAGCCCTTACTGAAAGGCCAGAGGGCGGAATACCGAGGTGTGTTTGGCACCATCTTCACCATGGTGAAGACAGAGGGGCCGAGGAGTCTGTACAGCGGCCTGGTGGCAGGGCTGCACAGGCAGATGAGCTTTGCCTCGATCCGCATCGGCATGTATGACACCATGAAGCAGCTCTACACGCGAGGCTCAGAAAGTATGTCTGCATCAAAACCACATCCCACAACTCAGTACACAGCAGAAAGCTCAGAAAGTATGTCTGCATCAAAACCACATCCCACAACTCAGTACACAGCAGTTTACAGCCAGTGTACCTCAGGAGTTTCACAACTACCAAACAAATTTAACCTGTTAAACCTGTTGCTGGTCTTGAGCTGGACTTTGTATTATTTGCCTTGTTTGGATGGATTTATTGTTTCTGTCCGATGTCTCTTTATGTTATAATTTAGATTTTTTTTAAACAAACCTTATAATGGTGAACTTTTAAAGCCAGGTTTCCATTGGTAAAAGAGATCTTAATTTACGGCACTTCCTGGTTAAAGTAAAAATAAACATAAAAAAACCCCCCAAAATGAGCTTCAAATACAATTATTTTATGAAGGACTCACTGTCTTATTGTTTTGATTAATAATTAAAATTATCACAGCTAAAGGTGGTACAGATGGAAAACAGATAAAATCCTTGCAGGTGATCCAGATGTGCAAAAATTCCTTTACTGTGAGTTTGATGTCAGTGTTTCACAGCTGTTACGAAATACATGCCAGTCGGCAGGTATAAACATGTAAGAAATTATGTTCAGAAAGAGACGTTTAACTGATGTTTAGAGCAACTGGTTAGTTTAGATTTTTTTAAGATTTCTTAAGGGGCTAATGAGCTCAAACACTCCCTTCCTAATATCTGAAAATAAACTTCAGAAATTGAAAAGTCCTGATCATCTAACCGGAAATCAGACTCAGACTAAAATGAGTATAAGTCTAAACCGTAATCGCCTGAACTTGTTTTGCAGAAAATGCCTCCATGATGTAAGCCATGGAGAAAAAATGTCCTCTTTCAAGGAATGTGTTTATGCTGGAGGCCTCACCTATTCTAACTATGCCGCTGTGGCATTATTAAGCAATCCAGATTTCCACCCAGATCAACAAAACTTCAGAAATTAGAGACACAACAACACACCCGCTTGTTCTCATTTCCATGTCCAACCCTCTCTTTCACTTTTTCTCTGGTTTTTAAACTCTCCCAAAGGCATAAGGACATCTGCCTGACCTTGATGAGGACATCTCCAAACTATAATCTCTGGCCTAGCTTGTTGCTTTATTTAGTGAAATTATCAATTAAACCAGTTTGAATGAATAATGTTCTACCAAAGAAAACAGTGTATGTCTACCCCAGTAGGAAATGATGCTTGAAACCTGAGAGAAGAGGATCTACCAAATAGAAAGTGAAATATTAACTCGCTTCATATTAAAAGCATAACTGAAAAATTTTGTGCATCCAGGTTTCACTATGATTATCCGAACTGCACCAAGTTTGATCTCTAATTGCTGTGTGTGTCTTTGTTTGAGGCACCAACATGTCATAAATCAATTGCTTGCGTAACAGATGCTGGACTCGGGAGTCGACTGCTGGCAGGTTCCACCACAGGAGCGATGGCCGTGGCTTTTGCTCAGCCCACTGACGTGGTGAAAGTCAGGTTCCAGGCTCAGGCCCTGCGGCCTGAGAGCGGCTCTGTCAAGAGATACAGCAGCACGACTGATGCCTACAGGACCATTGCCAGGGACGAAGGTTTTAAAGGCCTCTGGAAAGGTATATTAAAATACACTCCACAGGGTTTAGGTGTTATTATTGCACAACATGACATCCCTAACACCACTGAGCAGCGGTCATCTTGTAGCAGTTATGACTTATATCATTATATTTCTCATAGATTGCCACAGGGATGATTCATGTCAGCCTCTGAGCTGTAACATCATGGTCAACAAAAAGGAAAAAAGCAAAAAGCAAGGGTTTAGGGTCATGTTAAAAATATAAGCTCTGAGGGAAACAAAAGTAAAAATCATACTTACACAAGTTAGTGGCGCTTTTATGGTTTCTGCAGCCTAACACTTATGTTACGTCACAAATTAGACCACAGGTGACTGACTTCAACTGACTTGTCCCCAGAATTTTACGGAGTCTTCTGTTGGCCGAGCATTTCTCAGAGAAACCGGCTGCCTTATGTGCAGATTTTATGTTGCAAAACAAAGATGTGACGCTTGCGTTACTTCAGGCATCTGACAGAGAGCCCACAATGACCTCTGGATAAACCAGCACATTTTCAGATTAGTCTTCCTAAAGGGGAACCACAGTGATTTTACATGTGAGTCTTTTTCAGGTGTTCATGAAACTACTGTATGTTTGGGAAAATACTGTGTGGCTCCAGAAAAAAAGTGCTTCCTCTATTGACTGACAAAAACACAACAAGTGATTTGAATTTGTTTTGGTGAAGAAAATTAAGATTAATTAAAAAAAGGGCTTAAAACTACGTTAGCTGCTTGCAACATAACAGAACTGAACAAACTCCCTGGGATTGTTGGTAATCAAATCACAAGGTTTTCCCCAAGGAAGACAAATCTGTATAATCCCACAATTGACAATTATTTTTCCCATTTCTATTAGTGAATAAGACATACAGTAGAGTCTAGAAATCTTTGGACAGTGACACATTTTTCATAACTCTACATTCTTGAGTGCAGACTCTCAGCTTTAACTTTTAACCCTAAACCTTATTTGGCGGTGAAGTCATTACATTTCTATGTGCTTTTTTTAATCAGTGTGGGTTAATAGTTCAATATATGCATTTTTTTGTGTCCTTTAACCATTAAAACTAGAATTAATTTAGACAATGCTTCAAAACAACAGTCCAAATACAGCAAGTACCCAGAGATGTTACCACGATGGCTGTTGAATGGCAAGACTTGCTTCCAGAGGGACTTGTGGATATTTTTTATAAATTAGCAGCCAGTGAAACTTCTACATGATCATTTTTTCCCCTGAAAGCCCTAAATAAGTTACACAATAGATTTTTAAGGAATAAGCAAATATGCCACAAATTTAAACTTATATTTACTTTTGTTTTTTATCCTCTCACTCCATTTTTTGAAAAAAAAATTGCAAATTTCTGCTGATAATGACATGAGTGTGCTGCTGAAACTGATTTAAAATGAGATGCTGTTAACTGTTGAGGCCAGTAGAAGAATTTCTTCTTTATAGCAAAGTGAAAATCATGACTGATTTTCATGACTGTTTGATGACAGCGCAGGATGTTTTTTAAGACTGAGTTCACCAGAGAAAGAAAAGTGTTCCTATATGTTTGCTGTTCTTACAGGTTGTCTTCCAAATATAACTCGTAACGCCATCGTAAACTGCTCTGAGCTTGTGACCTATGACATAATGAAAGAGCTCATCTTGAAGTATAACCTGATGACAGGTAAGTGCAAATCTTTCTAACGCTCTCTCCAGCGTCGTGTTTGTTTGTTTAAATAACAAATCAGTTTTTCCTGCAGACAACATGCCGTGCCACTTCACCGCAGCATGTGCAGCCGGTTTCTGCACCACGATTGTAGCATCCCCTGTGGATGTGATAAAGACACGCTTCATGAACTCAGTGCCTGGGCAGTACAGCGGTGCTGTTAACTGTGCTATAACCATGCTGATTAAAGAAGGACCAACAGCTTTCTACAAGGGGTAAGGAATGTATTTTTGAAAACCAAGCATGACAGAGTGACTCCTACACACATTCTTGTTTCATCTGATTTCTTTCACAGCTTTGTGCCCTCATTCCTTCGCCTGGGTTCCTGGAACATTGTGATGTTTGTGAGCTACGAGCAGATAAAGAGAGCTGTGATGAGGTTTCAGCAGTTCTGAAAATCTTTGCTCGGACCTGTTTGCCTGTTGGTTTGATACTGAAGCCATTGTAGCACAGCTATTGTTGTTGGTTTAGACCTTTTCACCCTCAGGAATAAAAGTGCACATCTAACAAGGAGAAACTGCAGTGATGATTGATTTTTAAAAAAAAAAGCATTTATTTAAATATTTACTAATTCTTTTCTTATATCTCCAAAAGCCCTCTTTTCACACGAGGCATTTTAATGTTTACTGGCACACTTGAACAGACGCACAAGACAAAATGCCCACAGTGCATTCTTTAAGTTGTATCTTTCTTAGGCAAGTGTATGCATTCATTGCCTTTGCTTCCAAGTGTAGTAATACACGCATGAATGGAGAAGCACAAAGCTGAATTTAGATGTGCAAGGTAACAAATGACTGTTGGATATATACTGACAGAACAGGTCGAACATGTTTCTGAGGCTGTAAAAAAGAATATAGGAAGTGCAAATGTATGTAAATATGTAGCCCAGAGTAATTATCCCATTTCATACTGAATTTTCCCAAAGCATACAATTAACACCTTTTGGAATGAGCAGCTCCTATTTTTATTTTTATTTTATTTCATGGATAAGGTAGAAATGTTTGTTTTATGTTAGGCCATAATTGAAACTACTGAGATAACATGTATACTCTACTCACACTCTTCAGAAAGGCATGTTCCTGGATACTAGAGAAAAGGGCAAATTGTTTATTATAACTGCAGATTCAGGAGGAACAACAGCTTTCATTCTGGTTGTGTAATGGTGGGCCAGCTCTATATCATCCTGAGGTGCATAGACATTTGCCCATCCAGTCTACCTGTGTTTTGTAGGAGGTAAATCAGGAGTAAGGGTGTTGAGCAAACTGTTGTGGTTTGCTGCTTCACAATTCCAGCAATAAGTCGCTCATTCTCAGTGGGTGCTGGATAATGATGACCAAAACAAATAAGCCTCTTTTAGTTACCGTGATCAATAACCTTTTGCTTGGTGGCTTTGAACCCACCATCTTCTCTGGTCATATGACAAGTTATGCTAAAGTGTTATTATTTCAATATCTGCTCAAAATGCATAGATATATAATTCCGACATAGTTTTAGACCTTTATATAACTCAGATCAGTATTGTGACAGATGAGATTAAATGGGTTACATTAAATCCGACATAATATTTGTTTTCTAAAATGTCTCAGTCTTCATTGAAAACTTGAACACAGCACTCATAGCATATGTTTGCTCACTGGGTTTAAGCTACTGTGGGAAAACTCCCTGTAAGCCTCATATATTTTCTGTATTTTGGGTAAAATTATTGCTTTGTGACTTTTGTTGGGTTTTTTTTAAGTGAATGTATTGCTGGGTCAGGGCATTTTTATCTCTTAACCTCTCTCTAACCTCATATACGAGGTTGACTGTGTGTGAGTTAGACTCTATGTATAAGTATACTGGTTCACTTGGTCTGTTGCACTTGTATGCCTGTCAGTTATGTCTAATGTATGGTTTATGCTTTGACCAACTGGACTGTCCTGTTTAAAGTTTTAAAAATATGAATAAAATGTAGATGAAATAAGAAGGCAGTAAATAAAAGGACAAGATTTTCTATAGGGGGGCAAATGTTGACCCACACACGTACACAATGAACCTCATCATGTGTTACTATATACCTGCTGTACTACTGGATGCTGTTACAGATACTCTTCTGTATAATCCCCCATGAGACCTTTCAGGGAAACAATACAGAGATAAAACACCACCTAAGTGTGAGATTCAAGCCAGTAAAAGACTTTTCAGGCTAGAGGATGCAAGCTCCTACAAATATTTTATGATAGTTCATCTTTCTTATGCCATTTGTATCATTCTTGGTGTGTATACAAGCTTATTAACAAAAGTATCCGCATATTCAAACATAATCGAGTTTCCTGCCAAACAATGCAGAGACACGGAGGTGAACAGCACAAAACAACCAGCTGACAGACAAGAAAATTGCCCAGTTTGAGTCTTGCAGGACAAAAGACGCTGCTGACAAAGATGAAACTGAAGTCTGTGCTGGAACAAAAGCCCGTATACATGGTCCACCTTGCTAATCATCTCCATGGCTGAACTGGTATGGCAAAGTGTGGTGGACCACATGGCACCCAGGCTAACCCTAATGTCCGCTCAGGCGAGTCCATGTTGAGCCAAAGCAGGACATGGACTCGTTGGTCTTTTATCAAAAGACTTTGAGCGTGGACATCATCATGAAGGAAGCGTTGTTTGTGCTCCTTCTCTGACCTTGGCAGGAGTCTCTGGGCATAAATGGCTGCAGGTATCGAGTGTCAGTGAGCAGTTCAAGTTCACCACAGAGAAAACATTACTGTGTTCTAACCAGTTTATAATTACTGACGGCGTTTACAGTAAAAGAAAAGAAAACGCTACCTTTCAGGATTTCAAGGTCTTCATAGAGTTGTGAGGCTTCAAAAGATGTGTAACTCAAAGTACAGCAGCAGAGTAAATACATTAGGAACTGTTTCTGAGGGGAGTTGGATGATCCCCCCCCCCCCCCCAAAAAAAAAAAAAAATAAAATAAAATAAATAAAACTCTGAGCTATGAAGCGCTTTATCTTTAGTCACTTTGCATTTGGTAGCTTCTTTAAAATGTCCATGTTAAGTTTGTTGAGGGTGATTTAAGTGGCTGGTCAGTCATCAGTCCAAACAAGCTGAAAATTAACTAATTCTGGTCCCTGCACAGTTAAATAAATGGTCTAGTCCCCAAAGAACCCCTTTCTGCAGAATAAACAATAAACCTGCTGAGTTTTTTTCTGATATAACTGAATATATTCTTCTACCCATGCTTTACTGTTTTTCAATATTTATTTTATTTATTTATTTATTACAACAAACACATTAATCCAGACTAAATTTGATTAAAAATCCATGACTTCAGTGCGGTGCTGGTTGGTGCCTCCTCGGCTGCACGTTCAGTGGCTGAAGACGGATGGGTTTGCGGCCTCGGAGGTGCACTCCCATTCGAAGGAGCTCATCCTCATCAGAGCAAAACAGCGAAGGCTGGATACAGGGGACAGTGTTTATGTGGGCGCCAAGCACCAGTAGGAATGGAGGTAAGACAGCAGCTGTGGTCAAACTGACCTGCTCAGGAAGGCCCAGAGACAAATAGTGAGCCTCACTGAGCCTTTGTGCTGTTTTTGTTTCATTTCGGATTATCTCCTGCAGGTTCTTCATCAGGACCAACCTGATGTGGTGGAGTTTCTGGGAGCTGACAAAGAGCTCCAAAAAATCTTGTATTGCTGTCTTTCCATCTGTAAACCTCTGAAACAGTAGCTGTGAGACAGAAACACATACAGAAGGCGTTTTGCAGAGCACAACTTGGCTCCAGCATCAATCTGAAATGTTTGTGGGTATTAAAGTGGGAAAAATGTAGCTTGCTGTTCATATATATTTGGAAACTGACACAAGTTTTTTTTTTTTAACTGTTTAATGAAACATATTCCAATGGCAGTTATATAATGGACATGGGCATACTGTCTAGACTCTTAGCTTTCATTTGAAGGTATCAACATTCAAATTGGATGAAGGGTTTAGGAGTTTCAGCTCCTTAACATGTGCCACCCTCTTTTTAAAAGAACCAAAAGTAATTGGACAATTGACTCAAAGTCTATTTCAAGGGCAGGTGTGGGCAATTCCTTCATTATGTCATTGTCAATTAAGCAGATAAAAAGCCTGGAGTTGATTTGAGGTGTGGTGCTTGCATTTGGAAGATTTAGCTGTGAACAGACAACATGGGTCAATGCAGGTGAAACAAGCCATCCTTAAGTTGCTAAAATAGAAAAATTTTGGTTTTGTACAAAACTAAAATTAGAAAAACATTGTCTCTGTCCAAATACTTTTTGACCAAACTCTATATATTTATTGTGTTTTAGGACTATTTTTATAATGGGATAATAGTTTGCCACAACTTTGCCAGACAGAGTGAACATATTGAGCCAACGCAGGGATATTACTCCTGAATTAATATAAATGTGAAAAAAACAAAAGAATCCTGTGTTTTGTTTATTTTTTTTTATTTACTTGGCAAACCTTTCATTCCTACAGATCTTGATCCTGCAGATCTTTCTGATGTAATGCAGTGAGATTTAGTTACTATCGTCTTATTAACAACAAGGTATTTGAGTGTGTTATTAAAGAAAATACTTCACTGATCACAGATCAACAAAGTGGCTCTGCAAATTATTAAAAAAAAAACCCCCATAACATTGTTTCCTCACCTCAGACTCCTCCTCTGCATGTCTGATCTTGTTCAGGAGACACCAGTGAGCATAATGAACACTGTATTTTTCTGCTATAATGAGAAATGAAAGTGTTTCAGCATGTTGTCTAAATAGTTTTTGGACAGGCAAAGAAAATCAGACCAGAAGGGCTTTCACTTACCGAGTTGATCTTGTTTGGCCTGAATGATGCTTCTGAGTTTCTTCAGCTCCTTGTACTTCACTGCAAGCAGCAGCTTTGCATCTCTAAATTTGGGTTTCTGGCTAAGATTGACTTTGGCCAGGTTTTGATTTGAAATCCGTGTCTTTTGCGCAGCCTGCTGGAGCCTCTGAAACTAAAAAAGCACCACATCTTGTTTTAGAAACAAGAAATGAATTAGTGCTGTGCTTTTCCCCTATATGTGCAAAAGTAAACAACAGCAGACCCAAGATGTTTGATTGATTAATCAACTGGGAGGAATGTATTAGTCGCTATTATAATGTTTGTTTAAATCTCTTTTTTAAAGCAATAAATATTAAATGCTTGATAGTCAAAGATTATAAAATGGAAGAGGTCCTACTGTGAATTTATGATGATAATAATAATTAGTTGATGATTTTATAACACTGACGAATAGTAGGACATTGACAGGGACCATTTTTATGTAACAAGTATGAATATTTTTAATATTTCTTAGAGTATTTTACTGTGTGTCATTAATACTTCGCAGAAGTAGAGTAACCTACTTAACACATTTACCACCCAATGCCCTCAATTAACCATGTTGGTAATTACGAAAATAATTTTCTCCCTGTCTTTATTTACATGTGTGCACATTATATTTGTAGTTTTAACATATAATTATTGTTTTTATCCATCAATTTTGGAATAAATTTGGAGTAACAAATTATAAAGCATATTAACATTTTTCTTTTTATTAAGATGCCAAATTACAGTTATTTACTTCACTTATTTACTTCTCGGAGATCTCAAGGGTGCAGGCTCAAATTTGGGAAACGTGGTCTAATGAATTTGTTAAGCGCTGCACTTTTAAAAGAATCCGAATACTTCTTATTCGTGTTAGTTTAAACATCTTTTTCACTCACCTTTTCACTGCTCCTGGCCATGTGAGTTATTTTGTCCTCGTCTTCCAGCAGCTCTCGCAGCTCTCTGGTTCTGCGGACGCCGAAGTGAAACCGGACCGGCAGAGACATGCTGACCGTCCGTGCTCTGGATGCTCTCTGTCTCCTCAGTATAACACCTGCTGGCTCCTGAAGCGTCCTTCGGGAGCTGTTGATGCTGCATTCAAAGACAGTCAGAGGTTATACTACTGCAGAACTTGTGGAAGTAAACATGAATCTTCCTTTGAAAGTTTGACATCCTGGAGAAAGAAATGTTTTGCATTTTTTTTTTTTGTAATTTTTGCTACTTTCTGCCGAAAGTAGTTAAACTAAAACATATTTATGTTTTAGTTTAACTTAAATAATAACTTTAGTTATTGGTTAAATAATAGCCAATAACTAAATTGGTAAAAATGCTTCTTTAAGCTTGTGTGAACCTTTCACACAAAAAGGTCTGTGTGGTTTTCTTTGGGAGTGTCTTAAAACTGAGTTTGAATGTGTAAAAATCACTGAAACACATCATCTATTAATGAATCAAGGACTTGGGAAAAAGCCTTTGAAGATAATGCTGGTAGTTATTTATTCTTGTCAATAAATTACATAAATAGTTTCCTTGCCATGCTTAATATTTGTTCAAGATGAGTTCTAGAGAATTTCAAAATAATTTAAAAGAATTGTAACTTGTAATGATTAAAGACCTTAGTATTTATATACTGCATACTTTTTATATAAATCTGCTGTATTTATCACAGTAAAGGATGAAAAGAAAACGGCAGTGCACAGCATATTGTGAGAGTGTGTGTTGTTGACATATTGTCGCTATCACTGTGGGATTATTCTTGGTTTTGTGTGTCTCTGTTGTCTAGCCTTGTCCTGTCTTGATCACCCTGTCAACATGACCACTGCTGCCCTCAGAATAACTGAGGCTATATGTAGCCTCAGTTAATCCTTAAGTCCAGCGCTGCCGTCCGTCAGTGAAAGTCCTGCACTGAGACTGAGAGGCGCTTCATGGCCAGACAACATTCAGATTTACCACCACAGCTCTGAACACAGGACATGTCCACTGGGTGAGGAAGCGATTCTGCTTGTACTTAATTTTTTAAAATTTTGCATAGTGATGTGTTTTACTGTGTGTGTGGTATGCTGAAGACGGCTCTAATGAGGTTATAGGGTTTTATTTTAGGTTTTTTTTGCATTTCTTAGGTCCTTTTCTCCTTTTTAAAAATTTATAACAACATTACTTTTTAAATGTGCAAATTGTGTCGTCTTGAAATATTACAGATCTTCACAAAAAGCTTTGCAGTTCTCAGTTTTGCATTATGGGCAACAGAAGTCTTGCTCATAAAGAGTTAACCTTCAGATTGTTAGGATTTCTCCTTTTCTGTGTCTTTGCCTTTGTTTCTGTTCACATCACTTCTTATCTTATCTATGCTTGTGCTGGAGTTTGCAGAAGTCATTATTTATATAACTCCAAACTCCTCAAAGGATTATTTCAACTCACAAACCACAAACGGGCCTTTCTCTTAACCAGACTTTCTATTTGCACAAAAAGCACAACACATTTTATTGTTCGCAAAAGTTTGCAGAAAAAGTGTGAAAAGAGTCCTGTGAGTCTGTGATTGCTGCATGTTGTGAGTAAATAAGAAATAATTATGGCATGGAGGGGATGAACAACAACTAATAAACAAGGTTAGGTTGATATTTCGAGTTTTTTTGTACGTAAGTTTAAAAGTTAGTCCTCTGAAGTATGGCTTCAGAGCAATCACTTGAATTTTAATTTTGCTAGTTATTAAAACAAAATCACTGATGTGAAACTCTCATTTTGACACGATGTGCTAAAAGCTGTCCTTTCACTTTTCAGCACATCTCTTTTCATTTTTTCTGTCCCTCCATGAAATTGTGATTTTTCTTTCACAGTACATGAGCTGTAGTTTGAAGTATTGTGATTATTCAATGTCTCATTAGTTATCACTGCACCGACCTGAAGTGAACAGTCACTTGTTTTGGTTACGGGCAGTTTTTTGCTAAGACTGCAAAGACTCCTGAGACAGTTAATGTTCATGTGTTTTCAGTGTTACAGGACAAACATTACTTTCTGTTTCTGGGTTCTGGTTCCTGGTTGGATTTTATTCTTATTCATTTCTTGTGTTTGTAGTGTCCCAGTGTTTCTGTCTTTTCCTCTCTGTCTTGCCTTACGTTGGTAGTTTCTCCTCCCTGTGTGTCATCTCACTCATCTGTACTTTATCTCATCGTCTTCACTCACTCCTTTTCCATGTGTGACTTGTCTCCTCCTGTCTGAGTGTCCTTGTTTGCGATTTCCCGCCCTGTCTTAATTGTCTTGTTGTGTAATCAGTCCTCTGTATATAATTAGTCACGTCTTTCCTTTTGTCCTTTGTCAACAAGTCTGTTTTGGCTCCCGCTAACTCTTATGATCTGAAAACCTCATCCAGATCATAAGAGCCCAATTTTGTTTTACACCTTTGGACTCTTGAAACTGCATTTTTCTCCTTTTACTACTGAAGACCAAATTTACCACATCTTCACGTGACACTTTAACATCAGATTGTTTATATTTTACCCTCAACTCTTATGCAGTCAAATAACAACAACATTGCTGGGCTTCTTCTTTATTCCACAAATTCTGGTGCCTACATTACCCACAATGCAACAGTTGCTGCGGCTTTAGTGCAGAAATAAATCTAAAAATATCAAGGCATCCTGCTGTTTTAAAGTCACAAAAATCATATAAGGAGATTTTTGGATATTATTGCATGTTTGTATATTTCAATAACAGAACACTTAAGAACAGTTGTGCAAAGTAATTAAACCCAACATTTCAATAGTTCAACTTTAAATTTTTCAAAAAAAGTGATAAAGGTGATAAATCTTGTGGTGACCTGGCTGCATTATGGTGTACTATATGATTAAATGTTTGCATACAAATAAAGAGATAACAGTTTTAATCCTACCTGTGTGCCTCCTTTAAGATTTACTATAAATGTTAAAAATCAGTCATTATTTTAGTTAATCTTCTGTCTCTATTGAATTTAAGGCAAAAATGTAACCAGATGCTCGGAAATGCCATAGCATTGTAGTCTTATCAAAAACAAATACAAAGACAGTCAGAAGGTCATAGTTACATCTACAGTGACAGTGTCACCCTGAGGCGTTAGCCAACATCCCACAATCTGTCTGTACAGACTCTAACAAGGTTGGAAAACCTGCTCCTTTAATGTGTGTCTTAATGAGAGGCAACATTGAACCTCATCGCCACAGATGTAGATGCACTGACTCTTGGTGCGGTCACAGCCAGCAATATTATGCATTAAGATGTTAATATTGTATTAAAATGCAGCAGAACATTTTTGTATGAATCAGAGCTGATGCAAATGTCAACACAGAAGTACTACTCAAAAAAAATCGAAGCAACATATTTGACAGAGGCTATGCAGTAGTACTTTCTTCCAGTCAAAGATCTCAGTATCAAAATCTCGTCATGCCTCTGTTTCTGCTTCAACCTGTCAGCACCATGATCCGTCCTCTAGCTCTTCACCAAAACATCTCTGGGACGCTGAGCTGTGAGTGAGTCAGAGTTAACCACCATGAGCGCTGACACCGTCAGCAGGCCAGAGCTGGAATTGGAGAACAACGGCGAGCTTGCTGACTTGGTGGCAGCCATGAACGTGGCCGCCAACCGTTTAACCCCTCCTAATGGCTACAGGTCGGGTGGTCCAAGGACCACCAACACCAACCGAATTCGCCTCTCAGACAGGAAAATGTCTCTGCAGGAGAGAGGGAGTCGCATGGCCCGACAGCCAACCATTGAGACCAAACGTGTGTCAATCACTGGCGTTGATGTGAGATATTCTTACATAATTTTCACATTATTTTTAAATAATTTGATATTTTACTGATCAGATAATGGAATTCTATCCTTCACTTATGTAGGACTGTATCCAGCTTAACCAGTATAAACTAAAGGAAGAGATTGGAAAGGTAAATTAAAATCATGATATAGCATATACTCTGGTAATACAGAAGTGAGGGAATGCGATTTATGAACCTTTTTACCTTTGGTGTTTCACTCCAGGGTTCGTATGGAGTAGTGAAATTGGCTTATAATGAAGATTCAGAAGAGCACTATGTAAGTCAAAAGATTAAACTATACTGAAGAATTTACATGTCAGTTTGCCTTTATTACCACAATTTGCTTTATTTAATTCATTTAGGCAATGAAAGTAGTTTCAAAGAAGAAGCTGATGAGGCAGTGTGGATTTTTGCGTGAGTGAATAAGTATTCTTAGTCATAAGTATTAATTCCCTTTTGGCATTTTTGCTGTGGTTTTAGTGGTTATGTGTGTGTATGTATGTGTATACATTCCAGGCCGCCTGCCAACCTCAGGGTCAAAGTCACAGCAGGATCCGTTCCCTAAAGCCGCCTTGCCTCTGGAGAGCGTGTACAAGGAGATCGCCATCCTGAAGAAACTGGACCATCATAATGTTGTCAAACTGATCGAGGTTGGTACGAGGACTCAGTCTTACAATCTCATTGGAAGCTTAGAACAACACAAATAAACACGACAAACATTTCAGCTTTGAATGAAAGTTGTGCTGAAGTATGCACGATATTGAATGCAATAAACACTTTATAATAGAAAAGTCTTTTTCTGCTTTTAATACAGAGCGGAATGCAACTTTGGATTGGATAATATGTTGGATTAAGGTTCAAGCAGAGATGCAGGGAAATGGTGGCTTACACAGAGTCACAGAGTGATTCCCCACAGAAGTGACATCTTCAACATGCTTCGTATCATGAGCTGTTATTTGATCCAGGAAAAAGGCAGATATTAGATAGTGTTGGTGGGTGGTTTAAGCCCCTTCGCAATGGTACACACTAATGTATGTTAATATCAGGCTTTTGTCTTGAATTCTCCCAGTGGATTCACTCTGTAGTAATCACTGATATTTATTCTTTCTAGAAAACATAACGAGCAACTTCTAAAGTTGTCCCTGCTGTTGGCAGCTTCAAACCTCCAGCAATGGACTAAAAAGAATCTGCTCACATCTGGTTTTTGTCTTCAGTTCGGTACCATAAACATTGCTGGGTGAAATGATTCTGCATTAGTGACTGGTGTAAGGTCCAACTCCAGTCTGCAGTGATGGAAACATCTCACGGCTGATTTAGACTTCGGCAGTGAATCTTCGTAGAGCTTATGACGTAACCTATGTATGTGGTTGACGCGGTTGCCAGCATGCATCCCTGTGTGTAGTGTTAATTACATTGTGGTCACGGCCCAGTATTTTATGTGGTGCCAGCCACAATAGAAACAAATAAAAAAAACCCTCTGATGTATTTCCCTGGTGGGGCAGGTTTTTTTTTTTTTGTGTGTTTTTTTTTCTCTGGAGGAAAACATATCTATTGCTCAGGTTTTTCCACATCTTTGAACATTCCCTCACATTCACGTCAATCGTTTTTCAAAATCTCCCTTCAAGAATTGTGGACATATTATGCTGAGGCAATGTTGTTATTTTCTTACTGATACACTCAAAAACTGAGGCTGGAAATGCACAGGAGGAGTAGAAAATAGGCCAATTCAGCCTGAATCAATGAGAGGTGTAGGTACATTTTCAGAGCGCTGGACGTCAGGTTACATTTTAAGATTTTAGAGCGTCTTGGGGTTAAAACGTACCTACAGTGTAGATTTAACAGAGGCTAGTTACCAGGTGAGGGCAGCACTATTGCCTCACAGCAGTGGGTTCAAACCCGAGTACTGACCGCTCTTCTGTGTGGAGTTTGCATGTTCACCCTGTGCCTGAGCCCTGGTTGCTCTTGCCGATGAAAAACATGCCAGATTAACTGTGCCTGTGTCATCCCATCATTAATCTGATAATTTACACTTCCTGGTTGTATTAATGTAGAAAACCAAAACCATCTATTTCTTCTATCCCTGTTTGAGTCAGTCTTTGTAAAAGATGTTTAAAAACAAACAAACACTGTAACTGTGTCACTGGCCTTTGTGCTGCTTCCTTGTGCTTAAAATGTGCTTGTGGTGGACAGAACGATAGACTAGAAAAAGACTAAACTTTCTCCACTAGCAAAGGGAAAGGAGCCAAAGACTTATTATTTTAATAATGATGATGATGATGATGATGATGATGATGATGATGATGATGATAATAGTAGTAGTAGTAATAATGATGATAATAATAATGATAATAATAATAATAATAATAATATTACTATTATTATAAACATCAGTTACTGTGTCTTCCAGGTGCTGGATGATCCTGATGAAGATGGACTTCACATGGGTAGGCAATAATTTATATTTATTATAATTTATGAATCTATTTTGCTGCAATACTGTTTTCAATAAGAAGGCAAGAAGTCATTCAAATCTCATTTTAATCTGTCTTCAAGCCTTCGAATTGGTGACAAAAGGGTATGTTGTTGTGCTTTCATGTATTCTATTGAGCTCTGAATTGGGATTTTATTGAGTTGGGGATGCCACCATGATGATTAGATACAGCATGACTATTTAATGTAAGTTTCTGCTTTTGTGCACCTCTCATGTTGGTCAGACCGGTGATGGAGGTGCCTACTGACAACCCTCTAACGGAGCAGCAGGCTCGCTTTTACTTCAGAGACGTTGTCCTTGGAATAGAGTACTGTAAGTACACAGACTTTCTGACACATTTCTATCTGATTTTACATATCTGTTCAGTTGCATTCACTTCACTCATAAGCCTCAAGGCAGGAATGGGTGAATATCTGTGTCTACAATTTGTTTCCATATGAAATTAAGCCCAAATGATCGTTCCTGTCACAGCTACACATTTCAAAACGATTAGCAGCTTAACTAAGTTGATTTTACTAACTGCAAATATGTTCATCATGAGCTTTTACAATATCAAGCTGAGGTGTGTGGAGACCAAAAGCAGTCAGGATCTGTCTCAGATCCAGGAAGACACCCTGGACAGGAGGATGTCCTCAATTGTGTCTCTTCAGTAGCTTGGGAATGATTCAGTATCCTGCTGGAAAAGCTGGAGGATGTCTTTGGGGCAGTGAAGTCTGGTGTTTCTGCTTTGACAGCTGCCCCATGATCTGGGTCAGATAAGCTGTTGGATAATATTTGACTTTAAAAGAAAAATATTTGAGAAAATATTCAAAGGTTAATTTTAAGCTGTTTTTTAACTTTAGAATATAAAACTGTACATAAATAATAAACTTAACAGGAAAAATGTAAATGTAATGTAAATTAATGTTAAATCTATATTTTTTTGTGCAGTACACTACCAAAGGATTATTCACAGGGACATTAAACCATCTAATCTGCTGTTGGGAGATGATGGCCACGTCAAGATAGCAGACTTTGGTGTGAGCAAAGAGTTTGAGGGGACAGACGCCCTTCTGTCAAGCACAGCGGGGACGCCGGCCTTCATGGCTCCGGAGATGATGACCGAACACGAGCAGAGCTTCAGTGGAAAAGTGAGACAATCTTTTCCCTATTGGTCATCAGTGATTTAACTATGCTTTGATTTTACATATCAGGCTGTGTTAGTTGAGAGAAAGTATCAAGAAGTGATGCTTAGCGAACCAGCTGAGAGCCTTTCAGTGGTGTCACTGTGATCATTTGTGTTTATTTGCCAGGCATTAGACGTGTGGGCGATGGGAGTCACACTGTACTGCTTCGTCTTTGGGATGGTAAGCATGTTTGCAGCATGATGCTTGTAGATTAATACACTTTTACATCAGTCGTTTAACATTTGAATCCCTTTTCTTCTATTTTTCCTGCTTTAGTGTCCTTTTTATGATGAATACATAGTTTCTCTACACAACAAGATAAAGAACAAACCTGTGGAGTTTCCAGAGACGTAAGCAAACTGTAGGATTGTTCAGTAGACAATATCAGATTTTGACTTTCAAGGTTTGTGTAAATGTTCTATGTAGATACATAAGACTAAAATATAGTAGGACCAGTATGGGTTAAAATCGTAGTTTCTTATAGATTCATTGAATAGATTTCTCCTGAGATCAAGCAAAAAATGGGAACAAATCTATTTGCTTTTGGTCTCTGATCATTTATTTGATTATAATTTGTTATTTTCTTTATTCATAAATCTAGTTAAAGGTAAGGAGTCAGTAATTTGTGTTTTTACTTTAATTCATTTATCTTCTGTCAGCTAGCTGTTTTTTTTCATCGGCGCTTTAAATATTTTATAAACTTGTGCTCACTTGTTTAGCATTTTGGAACTTACTGACATTCAGTCTATAATGATTTGATATTTAATATTATTGTATAATATATTATTATTCATCAGTAGCTTCATGTCACATGTTAACATACCTAAATGTGTTTAATTCCTATCCACTTATTTTTCTGACTCTTTTATTTTGACAGGCCATTAATAAGTAATGAACTGAAGGAGCTCATTGAAAGGATGCTGGATAAAAACCCTGAAACAAGAATCACCATCCCAGAAATTAAGGTGAGAAGGAAAATCTATCACATCTACATCCTAGAATCACAGAAACAACATCAATTATAATGAACATATGTGGTCCGGATGCAGCTCCATCCGTGGGTGACAGAGAACGGTGCAAATCCTCTCCCTCTGGAGGAGGAGCACTGCACGGTTGTTGAGGTCACTGAGGAGGAGGTGCAGAACAGCATTAAACTCATCCCCAGCCTCTCCACTGTGGTGAGTCGCACACATCTGATTGATCATGCAAAGACCACAGTACCTGCAGCTGGCACTGTGGTCTTTGCAAAAAAAAAAAAAAAAGTAATGTATTGCGTGGCTGTAATTTGAATGTGTTAAAGTAACGCAACAACAACAATGAAAAGAAACAAAAACATCTCATCTGCATGTTTTAAATGGTAATCTGGTAGTAGAACTCAATTACTTCAGTCCTTTATGCTTCAAAACCACGCAAGAGAAAAGAGAGAAAGCACACAAAAGTAACAGTAAAATGGTTAAAAAAATCAGTGGGTTATTATGATTTTGAAGTGCTCAGACCTCCTGCCTCCAGAAGCATGCATTAGAAGACATATTGCATGCTTAACATTGCATGGGATAATTTTTTTAAATTATTTTTTCATTATATAATAGAATTAAAAACTAAGATTTGCAGCTTAACAGTTTACCAAAAATGTAAATCAAATGGGAATTCACTGATACTCTCTCTGATGTCCCTCAGATTCTTGTGAAGTCCATGCTGAGGAAGCGGTCTTTCAGTAATCCCTTTGAGTGTCAGGGCAGACGGGCGGAGAGGTCCATGTCTGCCCCTGGAGGTCTTCTTACGTAAGTAGCCTACTCTGCAAATCCTGCCTGCGCCGCTCTGCCAGACTGCCAGCTCTGCGATTAGGCCTCTAACAAAGCAAAGCAGCGAGCAGATGCTTGGATAAAAATAGATCAGTTCATATGTAGAGTCTCTTTCCCATATTACACATAGGAGATCTACAGTTCCAGCATATCAAGAGCATTAATCTTCAAATACCGAGTAGCTCTTACACTGTATTTGTTGTGTCCTTAAACGATCAGCAGGCAGGTAAAAGCATTTGTCCTCTCCTGATAAGCTAAGTGGGAGCCCCCGGTGGCAGCGGTAGTGGCTGCGCTGCTTTTGTTTTCCATTAACGGTCTGTGGGGGGCACAGCTAATTACGCCTCCATGAGAAGAGATGAGAAGCTACATCCTCCTCCACATTTACCCAGCTACCAGCAGTACTACAGCACAGAGCTGCAGTCTCCCACTCAGCAAAATATGTGAAGCCCATCTGACACATGTGATGAGTAAATACTGAAATCTTCTGATCATTTGAGCTAATAATGGCAACGCTTTTTAAATCAAATTAAAGGCAGAAATATTCCACACTCTGAAAGGTATTGATTGGCGCTCCAGCCAGCTTAAAGAAGATCAAAACTTTTTAGATTGATCTTCTTGGAGGGATGACGTAGTGCGGCACTTTGATCCAGGTCAGAATTAACTTCATGTTTAGCCTGAGCCAGGTTAATCTTCCAACGCATTATCATAGTATAATACTAACAAATGGGGTTGTTTTTTTTAGACATTTTTTAAAAAATTCCAGCACAAATTACAATATATTATTAATGGACGATCACAGAAGTAGATTTATTCTGTTTCTTCGTCTATTGCTTGATTTTATTTTGACTGCTTGTACGCTCAAGTTTTTCAGTCATTGGAAAAAAAACCTGGTGGGCAAAAATAGCTTAAAAAAGTGATCTTATTCATCTTATTTACGTATAACCACAAAATTAATGAATTGAACTCACTGATCTTTTTCTGCAGAGAACATGTCTATCAGCAAAATATGAAGCACTAGCCAGCAGCAAAAACAGCTACCATCACTCAAAATCTGGATAACAGCACCTCACAATCTTACACAGTAACACAATACATGTAAAAACTGAAATGTAAAAACAAAACTTTGCAAATGAATGACTTTCATTCTACACATAACACACCCAAAATCCACAACACGCTCTTTTGTACAGATTGAAAGAGTTGTTAAAGATTAAGGCTACAATTAAGATCAGCAGTTCCTGCACATCAGGCTGTAGCTTCACATTCATAAATATAAACAGACATATAGCTGTCATCAAATTTTTGATCTAACTCTCAAGCAAAAAAGCAATTTTCCCCAAAATTTCTGTCCACAACCAACTGCTGCGTTTCTAAAGTAAAATTTGTGTTTGTCATAAACTGCATTACAAACTTTAAATCCTGGCCTCTTACGTCACATCTCCTTCTTACAGTGGTTCTTGGGGCTTACTGGGGTCTTCGTCTCACCTTCATCCTTCCTTGAGGTAAATTTTTAAGCATTTAGGCTGAGCTCAGATGCTTCATACTTAGTGGAGCTCATCGGTTGTTTGTTCAACCTTAAGAGGATTTAGGAGGAACAAGACAACACAAATCTCTCAGCAACGAGCTGTACCAAAAATAAAAGGACACATGGCGTTGTTGACAACTGCTTTGTGTTGGCTTTTCCTCCCTCTTGCGTCCTATTGAGGTTGATGTTGGGGGGCAAGTGATAAGCTTTGCTGTGAAGGACGAGTACGCCATAACATTTGTAGTCTAGTGTGACCCCTCCTCCCTCCTCTTCCTCACATGCAATCTCACATAGTGCTGTACCTTCAACGACATGACTGAGCGTTTGTCGCCTGCAGGAAAGTCAGCAGAGAGGGAAGCAGAGAAGGAGAGTTGGAGGACTTGTATGAAGATGAAGCTTTTACAGAGAGTGCTGATTAATCTGGCTCACATGGATTTAAAACACAGAAAGTATGTTTTTGTACATTTATTTGTGTCTTTTTCTCTTAATTCTTTTGTTCGTTGTTGCTTTTGACATTAGAGGAGAAGATTGTGGTCATTTTGTAAATTTACTGAATATTCAAGTAAGATTTGTAGTGCATGAAAATACAGAAAAAGATGATATTATCTTCCATCCAGGCTTAAAAAAGTAAATATACTCCATGAAGATGAAGATATTTTTACGTTTTCCTACAGCTGTTGAAGATAACAAAATATAAACTATTGAAACAATGACTGAATCACGTTTCTTCTGTCACGTTTAGTTTTGTTGCGTTGACTATTAAACACTAGATGGCAGCCTTGAGAAAACCTATTATTTCATAATGACTTTTATTTGAATGTTTCTAGGTTGACTATCAGTGGCTGCTACAGCTGTGCACGCATGAATGCACACTTCTTCATTACCACTATTTCTAATGATTCTGTATATCGGCTGCTCTTCATGCTTTTGACCAGTAGAGGGAAGCATTATGCAGCAATTATACAAACTCAAACTCAACAACCTGCCCTGTATATATACAGGGCACACACACACATATATATATATATATATATATATATATGTGTGTGTGTGTGTGTGTGTATATATATACACACACACACACATATATATATATCCTTAAGCTGAAAAATATAGGGAGAATCATTTTTTCTTAAATGATCAATCACGTTTATTTGCCACTGTTAAGATGTTTTATCCGGAGTGTATTATATCACAACCCTCCTCTCTTCTTGTGCAGCAAAAATAGATGTTTCAGTAGTGAGGACGAGGCGTGATGCTGCAAAATTTAAAATCCCTGAGCAAGAGTGCCACTGCCAATCACCATCACAGCTTCACAGTAACAGCACAACGCCCTGATCAGCACAGATTTCAAGTTTATCGCACTGAGCTGGATTTAGAGAGGCAGGCTTCACCGTAGTACAGGTGGGCTGAAGGTTTTTCTGGGGTTGCGTGTAGTAGGTGGAACAATATCTCTGATAGTCTGAACAGCAGAATATGGAAAAGATACAAAGGCAACAAGTAGAGAGTAAAAAAAAAAGGAAAAGGTAAAGACCAATAAAAGAGATATGAGCTGGTACCATGTGATTGCGGTGGAGAAGCTCGAACACAGAGCTCACATTGTCAAAGGAGCTCCAGATAAAGGTGTAGAGCTCGGGTTTGATGAGTTGTTGCTTGCTTCTAACTACATGATGAGATGTTACATTGGCTCTTTCAATAGATTATGAAGTCATCTGTCTCTCTCATCTTCATCTGTCTGACCATGTTAATCAGACAAAACATACTCTTCGCATCTCTCTATTCTCCCTCTACACTGCTGTGGTAGAATACCTGATTTAGCACCCATGTTTTACAGGATGAACATCAGAGCTATTGATAATCTTTTAACATATTTTATTTCAAATAAAAAAGATGTTCCTGTACGTGTTTCTCAATAAAACCCCATTCATGTTCACCAATTATTTTGAGTCAGACAAAGGAAAAGTTAAATCAGACAGTGATATAATGCCATGAGTGTCAAATCTAATTAACAGTTCCATTTTCAAAACAAGAATAATAAAATTAAATATCAGGATGAGTTTGTCATTGTCCATTAAATAGGCTTGATTTCAAGTGGATTATTCTATTTCCTGACTTGCAGAAAAAAAGTGGCACAGTTTAAAGTACAACATTATAAATAAGAGTTAAATCTTAAAGAATAATAGAGAGAAATTGTCACCAGAGCGTGAACAGCTAAAGCTAATTAACCCCCTTTTCTTTCAATTAATAAAGATACTTTAATGCTCCAGAATCTTAGTAACTCTGTTTTAATATTACATAACAAAAAACAGCTGAATCTCAGTTTGTAACCAAAAGAAAGACTGGCCCGATTAATCGTGTTAATCTTTTTGCTCACTTGATGACAATTTATACTCCTTGTTATCACCTGTTATTCATAAAAATGTATGGTAGTCTTTATATATTTTTAGCTGACACTAATCTGTTACATTTTAAAAATGCAATAGCAGTGATATAAATTATGGCACAGAGAGACTGGTCCCATTACTGTCAAAAGTATTTTCTCAGTTTAGCTATGAGCTCACCATACAGGGAGTGCAGAATTATTAGGCAAGTTGTATTTTTGAGGAATAATTTTATTATTGAACAACAACCATGTTCTCAATGAACCCAAAAAACTCATTAATATCAAAGCTGAATGTTTTTGGAAGTAGTTTTTAGTTTGTTTTAAGTTTGAGCTATTTTAGGGGGATATCTGTGTGTGCAGGTGACTATTACTGTGCATAATTATTAGGCAACTTAACAAAAAACAAATATATACCCATTTCAATTATTTATTTCTACCAGTGAAACCAATATAACATCTCCACATTCACAAATATACATTTCTGACATTCAAAAACAAAACAAAAACAAATCAGCGACCAATATAGCCACCTTTCTTTGCAAGGACACTCAAAAGCCTGCCATCCATGGATTCTGTCAGTGTTTTGATCTGTTCACCATCAACATTGCGTGCAGCAGCAACCACAGCCTCCCAGACACTGTTCAGAGAGGTGTACTGTTTTCCCTCCTTGTAAATCTCACATTTGATGATGGACCACAGGTTCTCAATGGGGTTCAGATCAGGTGAACAAGGAGGCCATGTCATTAGTTTTTCTTCTTTTATACCCTTTCTTGCCAGCCACGCTGTGGAGTACTTGGACGCGTGTGATGGAGCATTGTCCTGCATGAAAATCATGTTTTTCTTGAAGGATGCAGACTTCTTCCTGTACCACTGCTTGAAGAAGGTGTCTTCCAGAAACTGGCAGTAGGACTGGGAGTTGAGCTTGACTCCATCCTCAACCCGAAAAGGCCCCACAAGCTCATCTTTGATGATACCAGCCCAAACCAGTACTCCACCTCCACCTTGCTGGCGTCTGAGTCGGACTGGAGCTCTCTGCCCTTTACCAATCCAGCCACGGGCCCATCCATCTGGCCCATCAAGACTCACTCTCATTTCATCAGTCCATAAAACCTTAGAAAAACCAGTCTTGAGATATTTCTTGGCCCAGTCTTGACGTTTCAGCTTGTGTGTCCTGTTCAGTGGTGGTCGTCTTTTAGCCTTTCTTACCTTGGCCATGTCTCTGAGTATTGCACACCTTGTGCTTTTGGGCACTCCAGTGATGTTGCAGCTCTGAAATATGGCCAAACTGGTGGCAAGTGGCATCTTGGCAGCTGCACGCTTGACTTTTCTCAGTTCATGGGCAGTTATTTGGCGCCTTGGTTTTTCCACACGCTTCTTGCGACCCTGTTGACTATTTTGAATGAAACGCTTGATTGTTCGATGATCACGCTTCAGAAGCTTTGCAATTTTGAGACTGCTGCATCCCTCTGCAAGATATCTCACTATTTTTGACTTTTCTGAGCCTGTCAAGTCCTTCTTTTGACCCATTTTGCCAAAGGAAAGGACGTTGCCTAATAATTATGCACACCTGATATAGGGTGTTGATGTCATTAGACCACACCCCTTCTCATTACAGAGATGCACATCACCTAATATGCTTAATTGGTAGTAGGCTTTCGAGCCTATACAGCTTGGAGTAAGACAACATGCATGAAGAGGATGATGTGGACAAAATACTCATTTGCCTAATAATTCTGCACTCCCTGTATAGCACTCAACATATACAGCCATGTAAACGAGAGAATCTGCACAGCACCCTGTGTTAAAAGAAATCCTTACAGCTACGAGAGGTATTAGGAGGGTAAGTAGCAACCAGGTGCTAAAAATCAAATCCACTCGATTAATTAGTCTTCAGCAAGTGAGCACCTCTAAAAAAGCAGAAATGTTGTCAGTTTGCTGGTCTGGAGCATTCAGGTGTGTTACACAATCCCACAATCTTCAAAGATGTGGATATTCCAGCTCAGACTGTGCAATACTCAGAGAAACTATTACTATCCAAACTTAGACTCTACAGTGCTCAGTTAGCAAGTTAAATGTTAAAGTTCATAAAACTGCAATTAGAAAACAGACTGAGGAAGTATGGCTTCTCTATGAAAACAACATGGAAGCATACCTGAGATTTGCAAAGCTCCATTTGAACAAACCACAAGACTTCTGGAACAATGTCCTTTGGACAGATAAGGCCAAAGTGTTTGGCCATATTGCACAATGCACAGAGACTGATAAAGTCATACAGAAACTGATTACTTCAAGATATCACTGCTAAAGGTGGTTCTACAACCTACTGAATCATTGGTGTACTTTGTTTTACACAGGATTGCATAAAGTCCTGTGGAAACTTTTTTTCATGTGACGGTGACTCCCTAAACACATGATAGAGAGTGGTCACTGACTACAGGATCTTTCAAAAACCACTGTTAGCAGTAAGTGCCAAGTTGGCAGCAAAGCTAAGCCCCTCCCAGGAATGCTTAGTGTTGAGAATATTATATCCAAACTTTGATAGAAGTGGAGTAGGAAAATTTCCGTAAGAGACGAGCCAGTCTTAAGAAAGAAGGCACACCAAATTATACAAGAACTGCAATAAAAGTCAGAGACAAGATGTCTTGGAAAATCCAAATTTTTAATTTCTGATTTACACTGTCATCAGTACGGAGGAGGTCAGGATAAAATACAACAGTGCGTGTGTTTACAGCCAGGTGTAAAACACGGTGGAGGCTCTGTCATGGATTGGAGCTGCATTTCAGTCAGTGGTGTTAGAGATCTTGTCAAAACTGATGGAGTTATGAACACGGAAAAGTATCTGATTTTGATCCACCATGCAATACTATCTAAAAAACCATCTGATTGGCAGCAGATTCATTCTTCAGCGGGACAGTGATCTTAAACACACTAATAGTATGGATGGTAGAACAACAAACCATTTAATTGCATCTCCAGTTATGATTAAACATCTTTGAAACTAAGGTTTCCTAATATATTAACAAACAATAGCTAAATCTAAAATCATAATGCAGACCAAGAACAGTCTTCCTAAATGCTAGCAACCCTTACTTGAGAACCCTTACTGTAATTTCCACTCGAGCTTCAAGGTTTTGATTTTGGAGCAGAGAGGTAGCACTGTGGTGCTACAGCAGTTTCCAGTTCATGGCATGCTTGAGTCTTGGTGGTTCCTGGGTTGTTTCTAACCAATTTCCTCTCACCTGAGGGTGACAGATTGGCTCTTCTTCTAGATCTTAGCAAAGTGGTGACAGATCCAAATAACTTGTACTTTTATACGGTTGTCTGAACTGATGATGGGATCTTCGGTTATTTAGTAAGGGTTCAGAGGCCTACA